CATATAAGGCGCATGACCCTAAAAAATAACTTACTAGAGTATAGGCACTACGGTTGCCAGCCACATAATGCTTATAGCAGTACGATTTAGGCTAGTTATAATTATTAGGGAGGTGGTATAAGTTCTACACGTAGTGTATATAGATCGTAACTATAGTAACTTATCCCTCCTACTTATTAGCATCGCTAAACGCGAAGTTATAAGCCTAGCTAAGAGCGGTCTTCGTAATGTACTTTAGGATAGGGTAGTGAACCATGATTATAGATAGTTAAGCGAGTCGCGTGTACTTTATAAGTGGTGTTATAGTGTTAAGGAGATGTCGAGCGCGAGACAAGTAATACGAAATTAAAACATAGAGAGCTTATCTATTTGTTGTTACTAAGGCTATAGTAAATAGAAGGTATAGAGTCTTCACTATAATAACGCGTAATATGCGATTGTGGTAGGCACCATATATAGGCGACACACTATTATGGTATAGGTGATAAGTACTACTATAGATACTCTTTTCCTTTCCTATAGGGTGAGGTTTTTATCGAGGCCATAGTATGCTGCTAGGGACTACAGCTAGAGGGGGAGATTCTATAACGAGCAGATCGCGAAGTTCGTTATAGTGTTGTGGCATATGGCGCTAAGGCCTAATAGAGTCCTAGCGTACCAAGTAAGTCGGCTACGTATACCCTGCGCCGTATACCGGCTTTAGGGAAGTTAAGTATTATTTACTTAATGCCATTAAGCCATCCTTTTACTATTAATCCTAGCGTGAAGCAAATACTATTGCCTATAGCTAGACCTCACATAATTAATAAAATAGACTACTAATATAATACGCCTATAGCTGGTGTAGAGCTAAAGCCCTATATAGGGTTAGCCTTACTATTAGAGGTTAATAAGTATTAATGGAAGATTAGATCCCTACTATTTACCGCCATAACAACGCGCCCAGATATTACTTTCGCCATATCACGATTGGCCTAATTCCTTATAAACCTAGGCTAAGAGTACTATAATGTAGCTGATTAAGTACTCCTTTATCTTGGAGTAATAAGGTAAAAAGCCCTATAGCTAGGAGGCGGAGATACCCTTTAGGTTACTAGTGACGCCTCTTTTACTAACAATACTCTAGATTGGAAAAGCT